AAAAAAAAAAAAAAAAAAAAAAAAAAAACGCAGCAACAAAAGCAACAATAAAGAAAATAAAAGAGAGAATGCAATACCTTACATATTATTTTTTTGAAATAGTAGGGTTTTAGTACATCAAAGAGAAAGATAAAAAAAAAAGAAATATATATATATATATATTGAAAAAAAAAAACATGCAATATTTTTGCCTACATTCCATTTGCAACCGTCAAAAGCACAAGAATTAAGGGAAAAAGAAAAAGAAAATCAGTGGAACTGAAGAGGTGGTAACTTCGGTATCTTTCGTTTAGCGCTACTTGAGTCCTGCATTACGGCGTTTACCAGCGTTTTTCGGTAGTGTAACCACTTACGTTGCCGTTCATACTGTTCTTCTATGTCTTCACATGAGGGATATCCCTTCGCAAATTCCTTTAACTGCGCATATTCACGGTCACCAAATAAACTACGGCAATGTTCATTTGAGAGCATATAGAAAAGACATGGAGACTTTGTGTATACAGTGGCCTGTCGTGGTAACGGAACAGGAGGAAAAACACCATCATAATTATTATGGGAATCTTCACCATTTGGGTCGTTAGAATTGCTCTTACCTTGACTTTTGGTACACCATGAGAGAGTACCATCAAGTGCACTAAAATCTACTGGTGCACGTAGAGCACTATCAAGCGTTTTTTGCCAATAATCCCTAGACCATATAGTGTCAACATCTGGTTTCCAATCCACCTGGTGATTCAAAAGACCGAGCTCCCCAAAGAATTCACCTTCACGTAAAGTTACAATTTCCATAGTCTTTACAAGAGGTGATGTTACTCCCGTTGAAGGTAGTTGTTTTCCTAAATGAGATGTCGTTTTACCACTATTTGATCCATTATGTTTCTGCGGTAATCTCCATCGTGCACGTGATGTAAGTGTTTTTGGGGTACTAGATGATGAATACTGTTGATGAGACATTTGCCGTGATTGTATTTCAGCTTGTTGACTCTGTTGACGTTGAAGTGGAACATCACGTAGAACTATACACTGACCTTCATAAATAAAATACATCGCATCAGACTCCATTCCTTGATCAACAACTAACTGTCTCCAAGAGACACGAATTGGGACAAGTGCTCGTGCACATGCCTCATATTGTTCTCGTGTCCAATGAGTAAATACCTTTACACGTAGCTGTCTTTGAAGAAAAGAAATTCGTTTCTCAATTTCGTTGTTTTCGATTCGTCTAATCACACGATCCAGCGAAAGATCCACATTACATGTAAGACTAATCAACATACAATCTCCATCTGTTTCGTACCATGATCCATCAGGTAAAGCTTCCACCATTACAGGTAATGCAAATACTTCATAAGGTTCAACATAAGCGTCTGCAGCGGTTTGCAAAGATGGGATACGCAAAACCACACGTCCACGAAGAAGAATAAATATACGATTTCCCATTGTTATTTTGACACCGCTACTGCTCATACTATCCCCAGGTTCTCGGTGTGCCTTAGAAGCTGAAACAGTGGAATGTTCTCCTGCGATAAGAGCAGAAACACTATCGTTATCGTCAAACTGACTCCGTGTCATGGTTGACCACGATTGCGTGGATTTGCGTGTTTGAACATCCGGGAAAGGAGGTTTTCCAGCCAACACTTCTGTACCACTAAGACGTAAAACCTCCATATGCGAACTAATAACTTCCAAATCTCCTTCCGTAATGGTCCGCAAAAGAGGAACACGGCGTAACATTTTATAGCAAAGATTTTTGTTTGCCTCTGAACGGTATACAAACGGCAATTCAAGACTACGTTCCACACGATCCCACAAATCATACTCCTGTCGTGATAATTCAGCATAACGGGCAAGAGCCTCAGATGGTTTTGTAGAGTTGCCACAAATCCCATCAAACCGTGGAACTGAATGCTGCTGTTCGTGTGCGTGTGGTTGACCTGGATACCGAGAATGGTCTGATGGCTGCTCACGAAGAACTGGATATACAGATTCTTTAGCTTCTTCTAATGCCCGGTTGGCCACGGATCGTTGTATGGCTTCGTCAAAAAACCGCCTTTCGGCAGGGGTTAGGATACTCAATATACTCATGATTCACTCTATCACACACACACACACACAAATCACATCCACTTTGAAATCGGCCAGAGGAAAGAATCTTCACTTTAGCAAAAAGCAAACCTACCAATACAGCACTTGAAGTATAAAAAAGAAAAAGGAGAATAATCTACACCTTACTTTTACCTACAAAAAAAAGAAAAAAGAAAGAAAGGAATCTGGTAACGTACTACATTTTTTTTCACATTTTTTCAAAACAATGCTTACACCAACTCCTCATAGAGCCAAAACATATTTTTTTTCCTTTTTTAATTATCTACAAGTCGTTCAAAAATAACGACAAAAAAACAAAGAAAAATCTAAACGGCACATCAAACATGCCTTTTGTACAGGGAGGATACCGCAAGGTGAACTGTGCGTTTAATATGCACAATTTGAAACAACCCTTCAACTTGAAAAATATGAACAACATAAAAACATATATTCCACAAAAACGACAAAGTACGTCAGTACAACTCCTTAAAAAGTATGAAGAATAAAACAAAGACTAAAAATATACCAATAGAAAAGACACAGCAAAAAAAAAACTCCACATTACACGTAAAACAAATGGAAATAAAACCTCAGCAAACAAAAAAAAACCTACATGGCGAACCCAATCTACCTACACTAAAGAAAAAGAAACACCGCATACAAACCAAAGATAATCTAATCATAATCATAACACACAACACATTATCAACGATTTCTAACAATCCAACGTTCCAATGCTGCGTCGCACGAAGCAAAACCACGCACAGAGTCATCCCGAACAATAGCTGGAACTTTTCCAACAAAACCATTAGACTTGACTTCATTAAAACGTTTCTTTAACTTCTTACGTCGCGAAATTTCATCCTCTATTATCAACGCACGCTCATCTTCCTCAGATGCCAACAAAAACTCAACATCCTCACTACATAAACTATCAGTAACAATATTAAACGATAATGGAGTATCGTTCGGGCCACAACCCATTACAGCATCACCCATTCCCACAGAATAATCAGAGAACACATTCTCCTTAGGAGCCTCGACACCACTCTTACCATCAGTAGCAACAGATACAGCAGCAGCAACAGCTTCAACAATCCACTCTGCTGCAGCCTCATCAAACTCCGACTCATCCTTAGCAATCTCGACACCGCGTTCATCAGCAGCAACAGCTTCGACTATAAACTCTGCTGCAGCCTGCTCATCAATCTCAGACTCGCCCTTAGCAATCTCGACATCGTGTTCACCAGCAATAGCAGCAGAAGCTTCGATTCTCCACTCTGCTACAGCCTGCTCATCAAACTCCGATTCATCCCTAGCAATCTCGACACCACGTTCACCAGCAATAGCAGCAGCAGCTTCGACTCTCCACTCTGCTACAGCCTGCTCATCAAACTCCAACTCATCCTTAGCAATCTCGACACCACGTTCACCAGCAATAGCAGCAGCAGCTTCGACTATAAACTCTGCTGCAGCCTGCTCATCAATCTCAGACTCGTCCTTAGCGCTCTCGGCACCACGTTCATCAGCAGCAACAGCTTCAGCTTCCTCCTCTGCTGCTGCATGCTCATCAATCTCAGACTCGTCCTTGGCGCTCTCGGCACCACGTTCATCAGCAGCAACAGCTTCAGCTTCCTCCTCTGCTGCTGCATGCTCATCATATTCAGACTCGTCCTTGGCGCTCTCGGCACCACGTTCATCAGCAGCAACAGCTTCAGCTTCCTCCT